GAGAGAAATCACTGGGGACACAGAAAGATGGTTCAGTCTTTTCCTGTCGGATCTGCTTTGAACATTTCAATTTATCAGATAGAAGAATATTAAAAAAACGGGGGATTCAAATAAAACAAATCAGAGCTGGTTTGTCTGAGAGTCAAGCATCAGCCAGTTAGAATCATAGAAATCCCCAGCACAGAAAAAGGCCATTCGGCCCTTCGAATATGGGCTGGTCCAAAACCACGACCTAACTATTCTACTCCTGTTTTCCAACACCTGGCCCATAGCCTTGTGGGCCTTAGCATCACAAGTGCAAATGTAAATAATTCTTCAACGTAATGACGGTTTCTGCCTCTCCCACCCTTACAGTCAGTGAGTTCCAGATTCCCACCACCCTCTGGGAAAAAAAACCTCTTCCTCACATCCCCTCTAAACATTCTGCCCCTTACCTTAAATCTATGCCCCCTGGACACTGATCCCTCCATCAAGGGGAAAGGTTCCTTCCTGTCTATGACCCTCGTTATTTTATACAGCTCAGTAATGTCCGCCACTCAGTCTCCTCTGCTCCACGGAGCACTCTGTCCAATCTCACTTCATAACCCACAGTTGAAAGAAACCTGGCCCAAATCATCTTGTACACTTTCAAATGAAGCACCCATACAAACAGTACATTAATTTCCAAGTATTACTGGGTTTCTTCTATTGACTGGTTTTTGCCCTGGGCAGCAAATCTCTGAGGGACTAAGCAGCCCCTTGATGCATCAGGACTGCATGTGGAGAATGGGAAAAATGGGCAAGGAAACAGAAGCAGAGCCTGTGTGAACTGGGCCTGGCCTCTGTTAACTAAGCTTGGCCTGTGAAAACAGGGCCTGGTCTGTGAGAACTAGGCCTGAACTGAGCCCGGTCTATGAGAACTAGGCCCAGTCTGTGAGAACTAGGCCCAGTCCGTGAGAACTAGGCCTGAACTGGGCCTGGTCTGTGAGAACTAGGCCCAGTCCTTGAGAACTAGGCCTGAACAGGGCCCGGTCTGTGAAAACTAGGTCAGGTCTGAGAGAACTAGGCCTGAACTGGGCCTGGTCTGTAAGAACTAGGCCCAGTCCTTGAGAACTAGACCCGGTCCGTGAGAACTAGGCCAGGTCCGTGAGAACTAGGCCTGAACTGGGCCCGGTCTGTGAAAACTAGGTCAGGTCTGAGAGAACTAGGCCAGGTCTGACAGAACTAGGCCTGGCCTGTGAGAACTAGGCCCGGTCTGCGAAAACTAGGCCCAGTCTGTGAGAACTAGGCCTGAACTAGGCCCGGTCTGTGAAAGCTAGTTCAGGTCTGAGAGAACCAGGCCTGGCCTGTGACAACTTGGCCTGGTCTGTGAGAATTAGGCTCAGCCAGAGAGAACTGGGTCCGAAAGAACCAGACTGGTCAGTGGGAATTGGGCCCAGCTCGTGCTTCCAGCAAACACAGCGTACAGAAACAGCAGGAGAGCTTTAGGTGGCCATTTTAAATCCCGACTTCTGTATGCACAAGGATACGACCATCCACCAGTTTGTACCTCCCACCCAACAAAGGCTCACTGCGTGCTCTTGCTGTCACAGAACTGCTGGGCTAAATAGCCCGTCTGTCTGTTGTAAAATGCTCCGTCATTTTGATTCACGTTTGCACCTGGGGCTTGGGTTAGACCGATACAGCATGTTGGTGGCGCTGACGGGCTGGGAAGTTTTGAGCTGCCCTTGAGCTGACTTGTCCTTCTCTCTCTCTCTCTCTCTCTCCCCCTCACTCTCTCACTGTTTTCTGCCTCAGGACTGATCGGGTTAGGGGTAATTGCTTAGGGAATGGAACTGGATGTGGGAAGGGGAAAGGGAGTAAAGTAAAGTACAGATGGGAAGGAGCACGAGGGAGGTTAAATAAGGCAGGAGAGGGAATTCATTAATCCTGAAGATCTTGGCCACATAACGTTATGGCCCAGACTGTCCCCACTGTAGTGGGGAAGCAGGCGGGAGGGCCTGTTCTAGAACATTCTGTAGTGCAGCGTGCTCTGTCAAACAAGGACCAGTCCAATTCCCTGGGAGAACGTTCCGGCTCGGTCTCAGTTCTGCTTCTGTAACATATTCTCCATGATGGCGATGAGGTGATCGAGGCCCCACAGATAACCATCCTCCCGATTGCCTTCCACCCACGCCGTCCTGTGAGTCAGGACCTGGCCCTCAGGAAGGGGCATCGTTTTCCCAAAGTCGATCATCCAAACCTTGGCCTGTTCCCGCCTGTCGTGCACAAACAGCAAGGAGCTGCCAATCACCTGGGACACCGGAGTGGAGAGAGAGAGAGGCCTTTAATACAGGCAGGCTCACTCAAAACACAACAACAGAGCAAGACAACCTCCCAAATCACTTTACAGCTAATTTTTTAAATAGAATATGGACATCACTGGCTAAGCCAGCATTATAATGCTGTCCCTAACAGGGAGTTAAGTAGGTCTGATCAGATAAAGATTGCAGATTTCCTTCCCTGAAGGACATTAGGGAGCCAGATGGGTTTTTTCCTGACAATCAACATTATCAGATACTTAATTCCAAATTTTTTTTTTGGATTCAAATTCCACCATCTGCTGTGGCAGGATTCGAACCCGGGTCCCCAGAACGTTAGTTTAGTTTTTGGATAAATAGTCTAGCGATGACACCGCTAGGCCATCACCTCCTCACATGTGAATGTTGGTTAGCCATTGCTGTACTGTGACAAATCCTAGTGGCCAAGTGACACACAGCAAGATCCCAAAAGTAGCAGCGTGGTCACTTACACTGGCCCGACAGGTTGAGGGGAAAATATTGGCTGGGACACTTCGATAACTTCCCCGTTCTTCTCCCGAGTAGTGTTGCTGGATTTATTTAGCAGGCAGGTAGCTGGGAGCTCAGTGTGAGGTTCTATCCACACCCCCGACAGAGCTGCCCCCTCTCTCTCTTTCTTGCGACATAGCACTGACATATCAGGCCGCTGGGCTTTTTATTTTTGAGCTCAGTTCCAGGAGTGGCACTTGGTCCCAGGAGCTCCCAAATCAGAGAATAAAGAGCTAACCACAAATCTGATCATGAATCCATCCAAATCAGTCTGCTCTGGGGAACCAAAGTGACCCGGGGTTTGTGGGGGGGAGGGGTTTAGATTTAATCGAGAGCAGAGCTCTTGCCTGTCCAGATCTAACCCATCGGGAATATGAACAAACTCTGAATCCCCCGGCGATGGGGATGACGCAGGGTCATTACATCCCAAAATCTCCTAGGAAACCGTGGGAGAGAGAGAGAGAATATGGGCAAGTCGTCATGTTGTGGACATTGCCAAAGAAACAGATAAACAGAGATAAAGGATCTCCACTGCAAACAAACAAACAACAGCAGGTGCTGTCTGCGTGTCTGTACATTCTGCCACTTAACCATCATTAATCTCCAACACAGCCCAATTATTCCAGAGATTTTATGAACTGCCAGCAGAACTCAACTTGGAGCCGGAATATTCTCAAATCTCTCCCCTTCACACAATCGCGCGAGAGACATCTGCCCCAGTCCCATACTCCCGACAGACAGACACTGGAGAGAGCAAGAAAGATCCAGAATTTGGGAAAAGATCCTGGATTTGGGAGGGAGCAGGAAGGATTCGGGATTTGAAAGAGAGAAAGAGCAGGAAAGGTTCGCAAGGTCCAAATTCAGGGGATCAGGAACGTCAGTCACGTCGATGGTTTGGAGAAGTTGGGCCTGTTTTCCTTGGGGAAAAGAAGGGAGAGAGGAGATTTGTTCAAGGGTTTCAAACGCATGAGGTGTCTGGACAGAGTAGATAGAGAAAAACTGCTCCCATTGATGGAAAAATGTAAAATAAGCAATGGGGACCTGAGGAGAAAGTATTTTCACACAAGTGGTTAGGGTCTGGAATGCAATGCCTAAGAGTGTGGTGAAGGCAGGGTCAATTGAAACAGTCAAAAAGGAGCTAGACCGTCCCCAAAAAAGGAAGAAAGTGCTGGTTTGTGGGGAGAAGGCTGGGGAGTGGCACTTGGTGATTGGCTTACTGGCAGACATGATGGGCTGAATGGCCTCTGTAACCATTCTCTGTGTACGAATTGCCACTCACCTCATGAGTCCTGAAGAAAGGCGAGACCTCCACTGTATCCTTAATCTGCTTCAAGCGATCAAGGTACTTTTTCTGGAACACAAAGAGAACATTGGAGTGAACAAGCCTCACTGGCCCTCACCCCACTCTTTCCGCACCCCTGCCCCCATTCCCTGCAGAGCTCATCTCCAGATCCTTCGGTGTCTCCAGTCTCCCCGCCCGCCCACCGCTTCCCCACTAATCCCCACACTGCCAGCCATCTGCATTCCCAGGTCCCCCCCCGCCATCCTCTATCTCTCTCAACTCATGCCTCAAAGAAGTGTAGCTCCCGACCCCCACTCTTCCTGCAATTGCCGGCTAATTGAGGAGGCTGTAGTTTGTGGTCTCCTACCTTTGAACTCAGTTCCTTGCCCCCGTCGGAGGCAAAACCCCAAAGGGTGGCAAAAAAAGAGGACAAAAGCTGGAACTTACCAAAACAACTCTGTTCCCCTTAGTGAACTCTTGGAAAGCTACCACGACCTGCTCTTCAGTTTTGGTCTTCTTAAAGTCACGGTTCACAGTCCCATCTTCATTCTGAATGAACAATAAACAGAAGCATATGATTCACGCTGACCTTTCATCTCTGGGGCATACAGCCTCAGGCCCAGTTGCGGGCCCTCTCCTGTACACCAGAATTCAATGGGGCTGCTGCTAAACTCCCAGTAGGCAAAGAGACGCTTTCACAAACCCCTTGTTTACGATGGAACACATGCTACAAAATCAGCCACAACTGGGAATTTGGAGTTAAGGTCCCTGTTCTTACCCAACACAGAAACACAGTTACCAAAAACAGACACGTGTCGGTGAACCAAAAACAGAAGTTGCCGGAAAAGCTCAGCAGGTCCGGCAGCATCTGTGGAGAGAAATCGGAGTTAACGTTTCGGATCCGACGACCCGTTCCTCATCACGTGTCGTTGAATCGTGTACTCATCAAGACACAGGCAAGAGTGCCAAATTTCAAATGATCACAACAATTTATACTGCAGGAAACCATGTGTGGCGACGGGCGCTTCAGTCAACTCTAAACAAATGAAGTGTTACCATGGAGAAAGCAGCTATAAGGCTACCCAAGCTCTCGGTTTTTCAAAACAAGATGTGAAGTTTGAACATGTTCCTTCTGTTCATGTGTTGAATAAATAAAACAAAAAAGGATTGTTTAGAAAGTACAGTCCATCCATGGAAACTCATCGTACATTAGACATGTTATATTGAGTGGAATGTGACCTTTATTCTGCCTAACGACAGGACAGTCGAGAACGGCGTGAGGTAATACTAGGGCACTGAGAGAGTGAGAAATTATTACACTGTGTACTGCAGAAAAGGCAGATTAAATGATTAAACATGCTGTACATAAACACACACACACACAGACACACACACACATATACAGACACTTACATAACCCACCCCAAAAAAACACACACACACACAACAATCATATCCACCAACACACACACATAACCAACACACACTCTCACACACACTAATACATGCCTACATCAATATACACACCTATATAGACAACCACACACACAGACATAAACACACAAATACACATCAACACACACTAATACACACCAACACTTCTATAAACCAACACACTTATACACATTCCCTTGCACATCTATATACACCAATGTATACTCCTGTGCACAGACACACTCATATACACCAACACACACTCAGTTACACCAGAACTTACTCTTACACACGCACATACACCAACACACACTCTTATATTCACTCATACACACTGACCCCCACACAAACTAATACACATCTATGAACATTCCTATACACATACACACTCCTACTCATGTGCATTTACACCAGCACACATTTACTTACATCAGAACATCCTCTTACACACACTCATGTGCACTAACACAGATTTCTACACTTCAAGCTCACTCACTCACAAAACTACAATGTACACCCTCCTGTTTCTGTATTCTGTTTCGAGATATTTGTACTTCTTTAAATCTGGCTATATCCCCTGATTTTAATCAGTGCACCAATGGCACATACCTTCAGTAGCTTGGACTCGAATCTCAGGAGCTCCCTCCCTAAAACTTTCTACTTCTGTGCCTCACTTTCCTCCTTTAAAACACTCCTTAAAGTGACCTTTTAAACCCTGGTTTTGGTCATCTGTCCAAATACCTTCTTGTGTAGCTTAGTGTTGAATCATGAGAGGAGAAAGATTTAACCCAGACCTGAGAGACAACCTTTTCACACAGAGGGTGGTTCGTATGTGGAATGAACTGCAAGAGAAGTGATAGATGCAGGTATAACATTGAAAAGACATTTGGACAGGGACATGGAGAGGAAAGATTTAGAGGGATATGGGCCAAATGCAGGAAAGTGGAACTAGTTTATTTTGGGAAACTTGCGCGGGATAGACAAGGTGGACCGAAGGGTCTCTTTCTGTGTTGTATGACTCTATGTCTGCTGTGTAGCTCAATGTTGAACATTGGTAACACGTTGGAAGATGTCTGTTCTGTGTAGTTTCGTGTTGAATGTTGGTAACACCTTGGAAGATGT